ATTTCTTTACGATAATACCACCGCATCTTTCGATTTTGAAAAAATCTATCATAATAAATCTGTAGGAGTAATAGTGATAGATTTATAATATTTTAGTAGATTTAATTTTGGGCGGTAGATTTAATGCCAAACAGCAGACTTATATACATAAGTTTATTTAGATTTTTTCTTTTATTAGAATGATTTTTTTTTGTAGTAAACTTATTTGTCGCAGACTTATATATCCATGTAGTGGTATACTTCTTAGGATAATTTTATTTGTCACTGTTAGCAAGGTTTATTTCTCCAATGTTACGTTTGATTTGTCATGACAAATTTATTGACATTATGGCAGATGTTTCTAATGATATTGAAACTCAACTATATACTTAACAAATTGTTTACAATTAAAAATTCGACATGACATCAAGGCTTACTCTATTTGTCCTAGAATGAACTTGTCACAATTTTCATTATAGTCATATATATGTGGCCGGTAACTTTTTATAATAGAAATAGTTCTGAAAGTTGATACAATGGATCAAATTTTCATCACCATAGTCTATAATTAAATTTTGATATTTCAATGATTTTACACAAAGTTTTTAGACCAAGAAAAATCCATTACTAAGTACAACGATAAATCATTAGTACAATAACGTATTTTAAATCTTGTAATCAAAATTTGGCCACCTATCGCTAATTTTTTGATATATTGAAAGCTTTTTACAAAGTCCTTAAACAAAGAAATATTATTTATTAATATCATATATTGGAATAAAAAACTTTCGTCAAATTTAGCATCTCTTGTTGAAACTATTTTTTATAAAGCTTATAGGTTTATAAAATTGTTTATGTGTAAAGTTCATGAGGTCTACGGTCCAATAAAAAAGTTTTTTAATAAATGAAATAACCTTATAAAAAAAGAACACTTTGTAAAAAGAAAAATCTTGTAAAAGAAAAACCCTTGTAAAAAAAAACCCCTTATAAAAAGGATAATCTTTGTGAATGAAAAGGAAAAAAAAAGAGACATGTAAAAAATCTCATATTGGTAGTTGGAAAAGTTTTCCACTATGATCTTCTACTATAAATAGATAGCCTCTCTTGAGAGGAAGAGATCCATTCAAATCCAGACAGAAAAGAAAAACACACTGTTAGCAAATCCCTCTCGTCTTAATATAGTAAGTGTCTCGATAATTATAGCGTAGTTATTTCAGTTTGCAGATGCTATTATGGATATTGCATAATAGTCTCATCACGGTTTTATCCTGGGATTCAAAAATCGCAACAAACCGTCACACATTACGGACGATTTATTGAGTTAAGGAAAGAGATCAACCGTGTTAGCCAGTTTTTTCAAAACGGTTTTCAAAGTCTCATTTTCATACACTCTCCTTAATATATCGTTTATAATTTCATTGATTTACTTCGTGATTTCTATTCGAATTTTTGCGGTCTAACAATCTTAACTCAATAAATCCACTTCCTGCTTATCACTTGAATCAGATTGAATTTGCGAAAAATACTTATAAACGATTTTGAAGACGAGTTTTCAACGTTTGATTTAGAAGAATCTGTGAAACGATTTACCCGGTAGTCTCAGACAGGTCCGCAAAACGTTTGTCAAGTTCTAAGAACACCTGTTGGTGAATTCTGTGGAAACTCGAAGCGAATTCCTTTCGGAAAATCGCTGTTTATAGCGACTTAAACGTGTTAATCGCTAAAAGAGTTGCTTAAAGAAAGAACCAAACTCTAAAGGAATTAATGAATGCAATGTTGAAGGAATCTGGGCTACCCCAGAATCTGTTGGGAGAAGCGTTGCTCACCACAAATTATATCCTCAAAAAAGAACCTCATAAGGTAACAGGCAAAACTCCATATGAGCTTTGGAATGGTAATGTACCTTCGTACAAATATCTCAAAGTGTGGGGGTGCCTAGCAAAAGTCGCAGTGCCACCTCCAAAGTCTATACAATGGCAAGTCTCGTCACATACGAAGACGACTGATGCTAAGAGAATCAAGGGTTACTTCTAGCTTCACGTTTTAAATTTGTAACCCTAAATATCTGCAAGTGCACAGATGTGCGTTGTAGTACTTAGGGGTCGAACCACAGAGATTTTGAGCTTTCAGTACGAATCAATCAGGACTTAAGACTAGTAGAACAAACAAATGGCGGTTTTTGGGTTTTGTGTCACTAAATCTAAATGCAAATCGAAATAAAAAGGTTGTAAAACAATAAGAACAAATTGCTGGGTCCAAAGATTTTTCGCAGGGGTTCATGAACTGATCAAAAATCAAACAAATCGATAAAGGTAATCAACTAGCAAGGATCCCGAACTCGAATAGACACATGTAAGATTAACCAACTGTCGTCACCCTAATCATCTAATCACTCAACACAACAATTAACTATCGCTCTCATGCTGCGAATAAGATCATGCATTAAAAACAGAATTCATCCTCGCTCGCGATTCTCTATAGGTTGCTTTTGTCTCCTATAGCGATTTCGCTCGATCACTTCTAAGTTTGGTAATTCGATATAACACTCTCGTAGCTCCAATTACTAAAATCAATTTCTAAGCGGTTAGCAACAGAAACAGCATAGGGAATAAGAATGAAAAAATGACTCATAGAAGATTATGAGCCCTAAATCGAATGAAGCATAAGATCAAGACATGAAATTTCCTTTGAAAAATCCCTCAAAAACCCAACTGGAAAATTACTCAGACATAGTTGAATTCAACATCACAAAAGTATTTAGAATTGCAGAGAATCGAAATAGACAAAGGTTAGAAATGAAGAACAGGTTGAAGCAGGAGATTCGATGGTGCCCATCTCGGTGGCTCCTCTTCTAGGCGTGATTCTCTTCTAGGGTTCTTGGTGAGTAATGCAGCACACCTTTCTAAACGTCTTAGAAGGAGTTTATATAGTGTCTTGAGTCCTCGGGAATGCTTAGGGCTTGCAGAAAAAATGACGGGAGTGACTTGGGCTTTAATATGGGCTTCTGAGGCTCGTAATTGAGCTCCCTGCGGTCTAAAATTTCGCACCCCCGGTGGATGACATTTTGGCCGCGGGTGAGATTTTGACTGTGATGATTTTCCTTCAGTGTATCGACCATATCTGGAGATCTAGCCATTGGATTGGTTTGATTCCACTTGTATTGGACAGCTGGTTGTCTTCTCTATCGTTTGTCAAAATTTGGGGATGATCGGACGGTGGGAAGACCTCCGTTTTTTACCAAACTTCTGATGGTCTGAATTTATCCAAAGTTATGCTTTTTGCTCCCAAGTGCATTCCTTTTGTCAAAATATCCTGAAAACTCTTTTGAGAATCTAAAATGTAGAAATCACTTAAAAACCTTTAAAACTGATTGAAAAAATCTGCATAAGATAAAGTGATCCATAAAAATGGTCAAAATCAGGTGTTATCAAATCTGCCAGACTTAAACCTTTGTTTGTCCTCAAACAAAACCAAAGATCTGAACCTGGAAAAGAGGTTTGAAAATCGCAGGAACTAACAAAATCTCAGAGACAATGCTTCTAAACCAAAGTTTAGTCATTATTCTTAAATCAGGTATAGTCTAGAAAATATCACCAAAGCACAGGCATAACTAGTCCGTTGATCCGTCATGCAAAAATCTACACACTTAAACCTATCCTCCAGTAAACTAGCTATTAACATTCATTTAAAAGTTCCAATGGTTCTCATCAAAAGGGTTTTAGTAAAGTAGTCAAGGCTAGGTATTCAAAATGGCTATTTAGAAGGTCAGGTTCTTAGTGTTTAGGGTTACCTTTTCCTGGAGAGACAAGATATTATGCAAAACAGCAAGAGAGGATGGAACTGTTAATGCCCCACAGTTTCCAGTCATATTCTTCTTGCTTCAAGATTTCTGATCTTCTTTCTTCAGGTTCTCCTTATAACTCCCTCAGAGTTAGATTTTTGTCCAGGTTTTAAAACCAATGATCCACCAATGAATACTTGTAGCTTTATCCAAATAATTTCGGCTATCCTAGACTCTTTAGGCTTTTGGTTTCCTTTCCTTTCATTCTTTTTCTCCTTTTTTGATTTTTTTTTTCAAATGGGAAACCGCCTTTTGACATAGTCTTAGGGAACACGAAATTTACCTTTGAGTTTAAGCTTCTTGAGGCGTCATTAAGCTTTTGATAGCTTCTTGATACTCCACTTTCCCAAATTTCATCAGTCCTTCTCTTGAATGACTGAAAACCATGTTGTTCCTCCCTCTCCGGCATTTTTGCACATATATGCCAAAAGAGCTGAAGAGAGAATACAAGAAGTTTGAAATTATGGTTTTGGGTAAAAGGTGTGGTACCAGCTAAAGATGAGCTGGCCATCTAGGACAACAAAGGGTAAAAGGTGTGGTAATAATGATGTAAAGATGTCCTAGATGTGTATCATGATGCTTGCTAAAACCAATGATGAGAAAATTAAATGTCAAGATTATGTTCAAGTGAAATGAGCTAGTATATCCTGGCAGAAAAGATCTCCATGAATAGAAATCCTTTGTTCGGAGTTCGTAGTGCAAGTACTCTAGCTACCGCCAAGTCTAGTACTAACCACAAAAGAACTAGCATGTAATATCTAGAAGCACATGATTTTGTTCCGGTGTTCCTGTTTTGAAAACCATTTTGAAAACTTTTTATGAAACACAAACTCAAGACAAACCAAATTTCATTAGTAAAGGATGAACATCCTCCCCCAGACTTAAATCACATTGCCCCCAGTGTGAGAAATCTTTGAGAGGATGGGATAATGATGGACTGAAATTTGGAATGTTTAGGTGTACTTACCTGGTGGTGTTTCACAATTCTTGATGTGCTTTCTGGTTTGTGATTTCTGTTCACCTTTTATTCGTTCTTCGCTTAAAAACCTGAAATTATAGAAAAAAAAAACAAAGCAGCAAAAATAGAAAAAAGGAAATCAAAGGGAATAAATAAAATACCAAGTGGGTTGCCTCCCACTAAGCGCTTGCTTAAAGTCATTAGCTTGACTTTGATGATGCTTTAGCCTGGCGGGTCTGCCAAGAGCATTGCTTCTCTTCCTTCTTCTTCTGTGAGGTATGGTTTTACACGCTGTCCGTTAAAGACAAATGTATCTCCTTTCTTACCCCAAAGAATGAGTGTTCCATATGGTTTGACTTCCTTTACTGTGAAAGGTCCAGACCATCTAGATCGCAGCTTTCCTGTAAAAAGCTTAAGGCGAGAATTGAAAAGAAGAACCCTGTCATTTGGAGCAAAAGACTGATGTATAATCCTTCTATCGTGATATGCCTTTGTCTTCTCCTTGTATATCTTGGAGTTTTCATAGGCATTATGGCAGATTTCTTCTAATTCGTGCATTTGAAGCATTCTTCTTTCTCCAGCTGCCTTAAAGTCCAAGTTCATCTCCTTAATAGCCCATTGTGCTTTATACTCTAGCTCTACAGGGAGGTGACATGCTTTTCTATAAACAAGATTGAACGACATGGTTCCTAAAGGAGTTTTGTATGCTGTTCGATAGGCCTAAAGTGCATTGTCAAGTTTTTCAGACCAATCCTTGCGATTTATGCTGGTTTTCTTTTGTAAAATCGATTTGATCTCTCTGTTGGAGATTTCCACTTGTCCACTTGTCTGAGGGTGATATGGAGATGCAACTTTATGCGTGACTCCATTCTTTTTGAGCAGATTTTCGAAGACTCTGTTGATGAAATGGGATCCTCCATCGCTTATCACAATTCGAGGAATTCCAAAGCGAGGGAAAATGATTGATTTAAACAGCTTTATAACCACTTTTGCATCATTAAGAGGGCTGGCGATCGCTTCTACCCATTTAGAGATATAGTCCACAACTACTAAGATGTATTGGTTTCCGAAAGAAGTTGGGAAAGGTCCCATGAAATCAATTCCCCATACATCAAAAATTTCGACTTCAAGAATGAAGTTTCGAGGCATCTCATTCCTTTTACTGATGTTGTCCATTCGTTGGCATGAATCACAACGTGAGATGTAGGCATGAGTGTCTTTGAACATAGTAGGCCACCAAAATCCTGCTTGAAGAACCTTTGAAACCGTTTTGTAGATTGCGAAATGTCCTGCATATGCTGAACTATGGCATCCAAATAGTATTCCTTCCATTTCTTCTTCAGCCACACACCTTCTGAATAAACCATCTACACATCTCCTATAGAGAAAAGGTTCATCCCAGAAATAATGCCAGATTTCCTTTAAGAACTTCTTCTTTTTATAGCTAAAGAATTGCCGGATGTCTGCCGCTAAGTAATTCACTATATGCCTAAACCATGGGGTGTCAAAAGCATCTGACCGCCGTATAGGAGGTTGGGATGGCTTTTCTTGCACGGTAATAGGTATAGTCTCCATAGCGTAGACATTTTCTTCTGCCAAACTATCATTTAAAGGGAGTTTCTCTTCTACTCGAATTCTAGAAAGATGATCTGCTACTCCATTATCTGCTCCTTTTCGATCTCGGATTTTAATATCAAATTCTTGCAGCAGGAGTATCCATCTGATCAGCCTCGGTTTGGCATCTTTCTTGGACATGAGATACTTGATTGCAGCATGGTCAGTATGGACGATAACCTTAGATCCTACGAGATAAGATCAAAATTTCTCAAATGCAAAAACGATGGCTAAAAGCTCCTTCTCCGTAGTCGCGTAATTACATTGAGCTTCATCCAGAGTTCTACTCGCATAGTAGATTGCGTGTAGTTTCTTTTCTTTCCGCTGACCAAGCACAGCTCCAACAGCAAAATCACTCGCATCACACATGATTTCAAATGGTTGTTCCCAATCAGGTGGTTGCACAATTGGAGCGGAAACAAGGACGTTTTTGATCTTATGAAATGCTGTCAAGCACTCATCATCGAATTCAAAGTTCGTTTCCTTTCAGAGCAGACATGTGAGAGGTCTAGCAATTTCTGAGAAGCCTTTTATGAATCACATATAGAATCCGGCATGACCCAGAAAACTTTGGATTCCCTTCACATAGTTGGAGGTTGTAGGCTAGTCATGACTTCAATCTTTGCTTTGTCAACTTCAATACCTTTTCCAGATATTTTATGTTCAAGCACAATTCCCTCGCGGACCATGAAGTGACATTTTTCCTAGTTAAGGACAAGGTGCTTTTCTTCACAGCTCTGCAAAACTTTCCCTAAGTTTGCCAAGCATCTGTCGAAAGAGGATCCATAGACTGAAAAATCATCCATGAAGACTTCCATGAAATCTTCGATGAAATCAGTGAAAATAGACATCATGCATCGCTGAAAGGTAGCAGGTGCATTACACAATCTGAAAGGCATTCGCCGATATGCAAAAGTTCCGTATGGACAGGTGAATGTCGTCTTTTCTTGATCTTCCGGTCTAATTGGAATTTGGAAAAATCCGGAATAATCATCTAAAAAGCAGTAATATTCGTGATTTACCAACCTTTCTAGCATTTTGTCAATGAAGGGTAAAGGAAAATGATATTTCCGAGTTGCTGCATTCAGTTTTCGGTAATCGAAGCACATTCGATGTCCCGTCACTGTTCTTGTAGCAATCATTTCATCCTTGTCGTTTTTGATAACAGTCACTCCTCCCTTCTTCGGGACAACATGCACAGGACTACCCAAGTGCTGTCCGAGATAGGGAATATGATTCCTGCTTCCAAAAGTTTCATTATCTCTTTCTTTACCACTTCCATAAGGTTTGGATTCAACCTCCTTTGGCTTTCAATCGAATTCTTGGCATTGTCCTCAAGATTTATCTTATGCATACAGAGGTCTGGGGAGATTCCTTGTATGTCATCAAGAGAATAACCTATGGCTTTCCTATACTTCCTTAACTCATTTAACAGCTTAGTAGTTTCAGCTCTACTTAAGCCAGAATTTATGATGACAGGGTAAGTTGAGTTTGGTCCAAGAAAAGCATACTTGAGCCCATCAGGAAGAGATTTAAGCTCGACTTTTGGAGCTTTGAGCTCGCTCCATGGGTTGTTTATAGCTGCCAATGTATCTTTTGGAGGAGTAGGGATGTGAGTTTCCTCATTCAGGTCCAGATAGTTCACAAGTTTCGCATAATCCTCGGCTTATCAAGCATTTGCGCACACCCTTTTGAAACTTCTTCGAGTAGGTTGCGATCGTCATTTGTGGTGGTGAGGATGATTTTTAAAGGGTCATCAAGAAGGATTTCTTCATAAACTTCCTCAGTAATTACATCAAGTATCAACCCGACAGAGCCCGCCATCTAAAGTGGGTTTCTCAAGACCTTTGTTCATATCGAACTGCATAGTCAAACTATCTTTCCTTCAGGAACATTGATTATGGCTCTTACAGTGAATAAGAAATGTCTACCGAGAATCAGAGGATCCTTTGGTTCTCTTTCTAATTCAAGCACTACAAAATCAGACGGAATACAGTTTTCTCCAATCATGACTGATACATCAACTAAGACTCCTTCTGGTTGTCTGACTGATCGATCAGCAAGAATCAGAGAGATATTTGTGGGCTGGAAAGTAATATATCCTAACCGTTTTGCAACAGAGAGAGGCATCATGTTGATGCTCGATCCCAAATCACATAGACAACGTTCAAAAGTTATATTCCTGATTGTGCAAGAGAGTACAAAACTTCCCGGATCTTTATTCTTCTCGGGGACATGGTTTTGTAAGATTGATAACACCTGATTTTGACCACTTTTCACCATTGATTTCAAATGCTTTTTCAAAGGTTTTACTTAGTTTTAGGAGCTTTTATTATGATTTATATGTATTTGTAGTTTCAAGGCTCTGTTCAGAAAACTTAGAGAATATGAGGGCAAAATAGAAGAAATCCACATTTTTAGCTCAGAGTCAGACCGTCATAAGTTCAGCCTCAAATGAAGACTTTCTCACCGTCTGATTCAACTCAAATTTAGAGACAGTCAAGAGGAGACAACCATATTTCCATAGCACTTTACATCACAAAGATTCAACGGTGCAATCAAAAGATACATGGAGAACAAGTTGACCTAGTTCACCAGTCCCGGAAGACTCTCACCCGCGGTAAACACATGTTTTACCTGCCCTGGAAGACTCTCACCCCCGGTGGACCTTAGGACGAGCCACAAGGCCCAACATCAAAGCCCACTTCGCCATTTCTCTTCAGATAAGCCCTAAATGAGACCTGTAAGACCTTAGGACCTATAAATACATTGTTTAGCAGCCCTAAACGGATGTGTGCTCCTGTAAAGAGATTTTGAGCCACCAAACTTTGTTTTCTAGGGTTAGGCGATGGAGATGGGGATTCTTCCCCAGATCCATTTTTCTTTCTCCTTTTTATCTTATTAACTTTTCTGTTTCATTCTTTTGCATTCTTCTATGTCTTTCATCATTCATTGATTCATGTAGATTAGTCCCAAAGAGTCAATTTGTTTGAAGATATCGACAAGCATAGATATCGATTAGGATTTCTATTGTTCTTAGCCATATTCTGGATCTCATCTCTTCTAAGTTTTTCATAAAGCATGGGAGTAGACTCATGACCTATTCTCTGAGCCTAGGATCGATCAGAGCCACGAGAGTGCTGTATCAAATCATCCATACCTAGCTTCAGAAGAACATAGTTGCTATAGGAGTCAAGAGCTATTTATAGAGAATATGTGAGCAGACGAATTCAATGTCCAATGCATGATCTTAAGTTTAGCATGAAAGCGAGAGTTAATTGCTTAATCTAAGAGATTAGTTGATTAAGGTGACGACAGTTGGTTAATCATACATATGTCTATTCTAGTTCAATGCAGATTCCCAGAAACAGATGAAGATAAATCGCATGGAAGCTAATTGGAAATGCCATCATACATCGATTAGAGTAACCCGGAGAAGTCTAAATTGCCACCTATGAGTTTAAGAGTCTTTAGTTTGATTCGATATGCTTTAGATGTTCTTTTAACAATTCATCCTGCATTGCATTTCTTGTGAATACTATATTAGGTTTAGTTTCCCCAAAACTTTTATTGGTTTATGAGTTTGCTTACTTCTCAGTTTGTTGTTTCTCGCAGATTAGACATCCTCCCTGTGGATCGACACCCTAAATCCTACAACATACCTCTGTGCACTTGTAGACACTAGGGTTTTATAAATTTAAAACTTTTGGAGGACCAACGGGCTTGTTAAAAAACAACCTTAGGCCCGCAAACCCATCAAAGATGGAACTACATTCATGAGTTCTTCTAATGCTAGAGAATTTGTTAAAATGCCCTTCATGTATTTTCTAAGAGCAGATATCATTGCAAAAGCTTCAATGAAAGGTAATTTTACATTTAACTGCTCGATTATCTCTTTCAGCTTAGCCCTTTCTTTCTCCTTCTTTGGTCCTTTCAAAGCTCGTAGGTATGGTGGTTTGGGCTCGTAGACACGAGTAAGAGGAGGTGGTATAGGTTCTTCTTCAGCAATTTCTTGAGAAATGTCTTCCTTTTCCTTTTCTCCCTCTTTCATGACTACTGCATCTCCTTCT